GTAAAGAACAGAATTAGTATTCAGAATAAAATCTGGGACAAAGTCCAAAATCAGCAAAATTAATTTCAGTAATGTTTTTTCTATTTTGATGTTCTTTCATTTCCCAGGTATAACATGAGAGAGAACTGATATAGAAGTGACAAGAACTGGCAAAATTAGATAACCATCACCAGAATATGAGTCAACAGTAAGATGCAATTACTTTTTTTAAAGCAGTACAATTTTAGGTCCCATTAAGGGAAAAAGTGTCCAGAACAAGATCAAGGGAAACCCAATTGTTTCTGTATTGGTCAGAACCCATCTGGAGAACTATGTCTAGTCTCACAACCATTCTTTAAGAAGCAGATGGACCAGCCTGGGTTCAAAACCTGAGTTCATTCAGAGGGAAGGTACTGACTGCAATGACAGGAGGTCAGGGAAACCCAGTAATGGAGCAAACATGAGTGACTGCAGCATTTAGTCTAGAGGAAGAAGACTCAAAAGGGAATGTCTTTCAAATATTTAAAGGAAGACCATTTATGAAAAAAACACTTACTTTGTATCGCTCCTAATGACAAAACTAGGTCCAATGAACAGGGGACAAATTTTTATGCGACACAAAGAACTTTCAAGGAGTACAATTTCCCATAACATTTTGACTTCAAAGGATGCACATTTTTTAATAGTTATGTATTTTAATGTGCGTTTTTAAAAGTTTTAAATTTTTTAATGTCGATATAAAGTTTTGCCTTATTAAAATAATTTGAATAAAATAAAGGAGTCAATTTGAACAACAAATATTAATTAGCTAACAAATGGTATGCAGATATGGCAAAGATCACAGAGGTGACATGCTAAAGACAACAGCTTCGGAAACACTGCTGTAGACTGTGCTATTGCATCTCTGGTGTTTTGAAACGTGTGTTACAGGATCTATCTCCTGTTGAGGAAATGCCTGCCACATAGTTTTAAATGACTCAAGTATTTATCAATAGAGAGGAAGGGGAAGATCAGAAAAATAAGACAAAGGAGGGGAAAAGGATGAGTGACTCGATACTCCAAGCACATCAGTTTGGCTAGTTTACCTTTAGAGTTCACATTATACTGACACTAAACTGGGAGGAATTCAGTGCATTCAAGGCACCAGGACCAAAAAATAAAGAAAGGAACCTTAAGAGATTAAACACAAGGTCAAGAAGTAACAAAATGAAACAACTGAGAAAATAGAAGTAAATACACATCTAGTGATAATCTGGCACACAAATATCCAGCAGGTAAGAAAATCCTGGACATTCCAAGGAAACATTTGCTGGTGATATCAGGGTCTTTCTAGAACCTCATGGTTTCTAGAACCTCATTAACAAAGATGGCCCCATTACCCCTTAAGCATAGCCTACCAATCCCCCTTGCTTGGCCTCTGAATGTCTGCTCCCCTACCCCAGCCCGCTTCCTGCCCCCCACCACCACCAGCCCAGGCAGCATTCTGTCCACCAGACACATCAAATTTGGGGTCTTGATACTATTTCACACTAATTAGGAAGGCCAAAATGTTCGTCTTATTTTTGAACCTCCAATGCCTCCTCATCCTAGTGGGCAATACAACGAAAGCAAAACTGTCAAGATCATTTGCAGATAGACATTTTCTCTAATTCTCTCTGGCCAAGGCCTGTCCTTGGGGACTCCAGGGGCTGGTTAGCATCTATCCCTGCCCTTCTCTTCTATCATGGTGAGCAAGGCTGCCTTCATTAAGGCACTACCATCTCTCACCTTGACTCGATAACTTCAGTACACATGGTTGAGCTTCTGTGTTGTTCTCCACTCTCTCTTCTCTTCAGACCCTTACAGTGATCTCTTATAAAATAGAAGTCACCTAATGAATGAAGCCCCTTAACCAGAGTGCTACAATAATCTCACCTATTGTGTTTTCTTCTAAATAAGAATGTTTTTCTATTACAGAGAAATGATTTAATGTAATTGAAATAATTTTCGTTATGAAGTTGAAAGTCCGAAACTCTAGTCTTGGTTGTTCTACTTACTAGTTCTATGATCTTGGGAAAGTTATTAACATCTTCCTATTTTGAAGAATTACTGTATTTATGTCCATAGAGGGCTTTATACTACACACGATATTCTTTAGTATGTACATATATTTTTAGGTGTATATATTTAAGATATAAATAAATCATGTGTAGTATAAACATGTCATTTATTTTACTTATTTATTAAAGGGGATTGTATGTACTATAAAGCTCTCTAAAAATATAAGTCATTTATTTAGTATGTGGTCATTTGCTGCCTTCTTTTTGCTCCCTAATTGTTTTATGTGTGTTTTCTTGTCTCCAAAATTGATTTCAAGCTTCTGTGAGGTCGGCTCCATCACTTATTTGTGTACTTTATTTGTATCCCCTAAAGTACCTGAGTTGGTTGATTAACTGAGTTAACTGTTTTATCCCATTCTTTACCTCATAGCTTCCTTAACCTTGACCTTCAACTTCTCAATCTCTTCCCCTCCTTTAGGGAGCCTTCCTTGATCTTCTGAAAGAGCACTGGTGGTCTTTGAGCATACCATCCCCTATGCAGAGAAATTTGCAAGGTTGCCATATTTAAAATCTGAGAGTGGTTTTAGTACAGTTAAGACTTGGAAACAATGATGACAGATTCCCCCAGAAAGTTGAGCAAGAGAGGACATTAAAATATAAACAGACACAGACTCTGCCAAATAAAGGAGGAAGAAATGTCTAGGGTCCAAAATCTGTGTTTACCATGTCAGTGGGAGTTCCCCAAATGGTTGTCTTGAATGTTTGGTTAATGAACCCATATGGTATTTATATATTATAATTATATGTATTTACATATTATACTTTTAAGCCCTAAGAATCATAAAATTAACAAACTGGCTTTGATTTTATCAAAGTAGTTTTCATATAGAGCGAATTTTCTGGATCACTTGATAGAAGTTTCTGTAAGTATAAAATAAGGGACTAGAAACTATAGTGGTGATTTTATCAAGTGACATCATCCCACGGGGCCCTGCCTAGGGGAGGTCAGTCAACACCCCTTCCAGAGGTGACCCTCTGTCCCCTCCCTCAAAGCACAGGTAAATGGGATAGTTTATATGGCTCAAATGACAGCAGGTGTTCTATGAGTTAACTTTTAAAACACAAGTTCCTGAGCCATTTGCTTAAACGATCTGAGGAGCTAGTTAAAATACCCAGTGTAGACGTGGGGACATGAACACATCTACTATGGAAGACAAAAGGAAATCAAAGAAGCCTGCTGCTCAGAAAAACCAAATAAGGATTGAGGTCTAAGAAAACTTAACCGTGCACTTGAGTCCTGAGGAGATCTTGTAAAAATGCAGATTTTGGCTCAGGAAGTCCGGGGTGGGGCCTGAGACGCTGCATTTCTAACAGGGCCCCCAGGTGATGGCAGAGCTGCAGCCCACGGACCCCACCCAGGCAGCAAGGCCAGAGAATCTAAATTGCACAGTAGCATTGGGGTGTGCTATGAACATGGGACTATTACTTTTTCAGTAACTCAGCCAGAGAATACCGAAGAAAAATTGTCACTTAAGAAGTGACACAACATATTCTGTGTGCATTTTGGTTCTTTACCAGAAATCAGTTTTCAAGAGAATACTTTTGTATTGAATCCCTTCTTACCAGGCCACAAATGTGGGCTTAAAGTGGTGTATCTTTCTCTGACAGCATTTACATGCCTAAGCTGTGGGCTTTGAGCAACTACCCGCAAACACGCACACCACAAAAGCTGGACAAGAAGCAGACCTGGCTGCCCTCTTAGCACATCCTCTAAAGCTCCAAGGACCTAAGGGTGATTAAAAGGGCACTCCCACAGGCTTCTCAGATCATTCCATGCACTTCCCTTGCACTTTCTGGAAACACACCATGACACTAACAGTCAAGCCCAGGCATAACAAAGCACCTTAATTCAAAATTTGCTGTGTATCTTAAACAGGGCAGATTCTATGGTGACCAACAGAAACATGGATTTCAGGATGTGCAGCCCTCAATTTCCTCTCTGTCTCTACCCCTAAGGTCTCCAAACAGTGAAGTTAGGCCTCCTATACGATGCCACAGCCACAGGAAAAATAAAGCTAAAAAATGAAGCAATCAGCTGATGTACCCACGTAGAGCTGTTTGGGGATTTGTGTTTGTTTTTGCCTTTTGTTAGGATTATCTTGAATAATTATTAAATTCCTGAAGTTCAGTATTTTTCCATATACAGCTTGCAGCCCATTAGTGAATCACAAAATCCTTTCAGGGTTCAGAACCAGGATCTTTTAAAAATGCAATAGACTGGGGTGCATTGAAGTTCAAAGGGGAAATATTGTTTAATGCCACTTCTCTTTATATGTGTCTGTGTCTGCACATACTGAGTTCTATTATAAAGTGTATTTCCCACTGTAAATCATGATCAAAAATTTGAAAAACACTGGACTATAGTTTGCTTAATGATAGGGAGGGGTTTTTTAACACTTTCATTGCTTTTAATCTATTTACTTTTATTATATTCAGCTGGCATCACCTTAGCTCGATGAGGTCAGAGAATGTAGCCATTTCAGATATTCCACTTTTCTTTCCACTATAAATTCCTTGAACTCATGTAGCATGTTTAATCCATACATATAATATTAAATTCCTTCAGGTCATACATCATATTGATAAATCACATTTAATCTACACCCTGAACTATCACTGGTGTTAGGTACCCAATCCTCTACACGGAACCAGTTGCTGGGAGCACTTCATCTCCTGGTGAAATATTTTCTGTGTTGGGAAGATGTTAAAAAGCTACCAAGGAAATCCTGATTTTTCTTTCAAAAACTGCAATTGACATCATAAATTCATTGAAATTGTTGAGCGCCCTTTCCTTCATTCAGGAGTTTCACTCCATTTCCCATCTGAGAAGGCTCTTTCTATTCCTTAGCAGTGAGAGAGGAGCTAGTCTGTCCTTTCTGGTTTTCCGTTAAACTGAGCGGGTTTCAAGTTTCAGCTCCTCCTTGAATTCCAGCCTGCTGGGCCTTCCCTCTGGCATCATCCAAAATGGAGCCTCTCATAGCTTACCCTTTAAGATGTTCAGGGCCCAAAGCAAAAGTATTTGCAGTTTTGCTGTCTATGGTTCTATGCACTGTGATGCTATTTCTTCTACAATTAAAATTCCTAAGGCCTCAAATCAACAGCTTTTATACCTTTGAAGTGAAGGATGCACACGGAAGAACGGTTTCTCTGGAAAAGTTTAAAGGCAGAGTAAGTTGCATCCTCCGATTTTTATTTCTATTGTTTGTCCATGTTCCCTATTTATTCACTTGATGCAATCAAGTGAATATGGTCATTAGTTATAATTTAGTCTCCAAAGTAATGTTATTAGTCTATAACTGTAGCCATTAGAGTTCTCATAGTTTATATACTAATTAATAAACTCCGATTATCTTGTTTTCTTTAAAATGTTTTATGTGCTGAATTAATACTTTCTTATAGTTAGTAATGTGAATATGGAGACATCATAAAAGTGCTAATTCCATAATCTAACAACATTAAAAAGCACTCTTATCAATGACCATATTATTGCCCCTTATTTAAAATTATGAGAACCTGATGCTTTTGTAATGGTAGTGGTCTTAATTCGCATCCGAGTTATGATTTTCAGTAAAATTGGGTGTGTCTAAAAAAAAAAATAACCATCTATCAAAGGTTGTTTTCCCTCAGAATGGTTTAGAATTTTAACTACTTGCAGAACTTTTTTGTAATCTTTTATTTGCTTCACTTTCTGGTTGGATTTTTTCTTTTTCCGGGAGGTTGCACTAGTTGTAAACGTGGCTAGTGACTGCCAACTCACAGACAGAAATTACTTAGCACTGCAGGAACTGCACAAAGAGTTTGGACCATTCCACTTCAGCGTCTTGGCTTTTCCATGCAATCAGTTTGGAGAATCGGAACCCCGCCCAAGCAAGGAAATAGTGTCTTTTGCAAGAAATAACTACGGAGTAACATTCCCCATCTTCCACAAGATTAAGATTCTAGGATCTGAAGCAGAACCTGCATTTAGATTTCTTGTTGGTAAATATCTATCTTGCCTCACCAATTTAATGTTTTTCATGGCTTTTCATTTTAAAAAAACCATACCAGGACTATATTGTCCTGTTGCATTTGAAATGTTTTGGTGGGAAAGTTTTACAAAACTATGAAAGAGCCACAACCTCATCTTTTGAAACTTGCTACAAGTTAAGCTTCCCTAAAATCAACGTTTTAACTTCTTAGATGGCAAAATAAATCTACTCCTATGTATTTTATTCCTTATGATCATTTTCCTGAAGAATTTAATTGACGTGTGGTTGTGGCTACTTTCACAAAATATCTCAATTCTCATTTAAGTAGCACTAGAAACATCCCTCCCAATTATTAAGGCTATATATCTCTCATGAATATTACTGAACATGGTTAGTTAAACATATCTTTGTGGTTAATTTTATGTTGCCTGACTTATCTGAGATATCCTCAAGGATGAATAAGACCTCAGTTTACAAGGTTTTTGTTTAAATTCAAAATAAAATATAACAGTTTGTTTGAAAGTGGGTAATGTTAGGGTACTCTAAAATTATGCTAATTACGGAAACTTATTTACAGACTTTTCAGAGCCAGTTAGCATAAAGATAGTGAGGTACAGTGACTAAGTATAGGCTCTGGCCTCAGTCTCTCTGGCTTCAAATCCCTGCTCTGTTGCTTTTGCTATGTGGCTTCAGGTATATAACATAACTTCTCTGTGCTTTTTTCCTCATTTGTAAAATTAGACTATAAATAGTATCTACATCCTAAGATTATTTGGAGGGTTAAGTGTATTAATCATAAAAGTAAAGCACTTATACACTGCTTACACTGTGCGAGACATTATTCTAAAGGACCTTCAGCTAGTGTCCTGTCATGTAATTTATGCAGATGGTTTTCGCAGTCCTATTTGCACTGTAGGTAATTTGAGTTTTGATTAAACTATGAACCTCAGTGAGGCAATCAAACTTCCAATCTAATAACCCAGCTAATGGTAATCTTTAATATTTCATTTAAGAGTGAAATTAGAAACTTTTTTAAATATTTAATTTCTATGGAAAGTCAACACAATACTTGAATAATAACTAGAGTGAGATGTGCATTCCTTTTATTTGCAGGGTACACTGGGGAAGGAAAGCCAGAGCATATGCCTTGTAATTATACCTCAGTTATAGCAGCCAAATATTTGGGTGCAATAGCTCCTAGATTCTTCCCTTTTAACACTAAAAAACTTCTGAACCTCCAGTTACCCTGTGTAATCAAAAAGATAAGAGTGATTTAAGGTCTCACTGAAGTTAAAGTTCCAGAGACAAAGACCATGAGATCATGGCCAAATGAAGATTATTTTAAAACTGACCAAAATAGACAGTAACTGATCATGTGGTCACAAACAGGAGCGATCTGTACACGTGTGCAGGTTGTTCACTCAACATCTGGGTGAGGAGGCAAGTCGAGGCTGAAACCTGCTGAGAGTCAAGACATGTGCTGAGGGACTACCCACCTGGAAGAGTATCTTTCTAATTCACACAAAGATGTTACATCAGCTGGAGAGAGCCCTGCACTGGTGGGCATTATCTTCAGAAATACATTTTCCATGACAGAAAATGGCTATTTTTTCAAAATGATTTGAAGAAGAGTTAGTGTAATAATATGCTCACACTGAGTCATTGATGTTTGATCTAATCAGCAATACTAATAATGAAAAACAAATTTAAATGCTTGGCACAGGATGCAAAGTAAGCACATGTAAGTAATTATTTGGCTATTTTTTTATTATTTTTAACCTATGCTCCCTCATTTGTTCTTTTCCCTGCATAAAGCAAAGTATTCTGCACCTTTAAACACTCTGCAGTGTGTTGTTTCTACCTACTTCATCACTGTTTTTAAGAGAATAGTTAATACTTATCTCCACCTTCCTGTCTCTGCTACAACCTTCTCAGATCACCGTACCTGGCTTGTTGCTCCATTAATCTCCTGAACCTTACAGGTATTGGTATCAGTGACTTCCACCCTGGCCCCTTTCTTTCTCCTTTGCAGGGTCCTCTTTTCCGTCAACACTAACTCTGCTGATCTTCAGGATTCTGCCACATGTGCTTGGGCTCTTCTTTTTTCTGTCCCCTTTCCCTGAGAGAGCTCCCTCTCCTAAACTCCCAAGCCATATATATATATACCCAGCTGCCTCCTCTGATTGTGTGTCCCACATACACCTGCATCCCTCTGTGTACAAAAATGAATTTGTCATCTTCCTCCTACTGTCTGCCATGTAACTGTGAGGTATAGAGCCCAGAGACGTAAGGGCACGAGCTCTGGGACAGGAAGGTCTGGATATCAGTCCTGCCTCTGTCACTCACTAGCCACATAACCTTGAATGTAGGACTCCATTTTTCTCATCTGCACAATGGGGATAATATAATACCCACCTCACATGGTTGCTGTGAAGATTAAATGAGAGGATCCATTTAAGGCACTAAACATATATTATTAGGCCATAGTAGGCATTTGATACATTTAAGTTATTGTCATTTATATTTTTTCTAATGTCAATAAGGACACACATAAAATCCTGGATGATAAAAACATCTACATCTCTTACATAAATTCAGATGTATCACAAGGATGTCACAATTTCTCAAAATAATGTGATTATTCAGAATTCCTTAACCATTTTCAGTTACATAACATGTAATATTAAAAACATAGATATGTATTTCACATGAAAAGTAAACCATATGTTCCCATTACCAAAGACCATTCGAACATCATTTTATCTTTAAAATGTTAAGAAACTGAAAGTTTTAAGCTAGTGACAAGGTAAAATGTCTGTTTAGATCAACAAATCTAAAATAAACCACTTTGTTTCATGGTTCTAGATCAGTCGACTCATCAGTATATAAAGTTATAAGTATATGTTATCAAGTGTATAAAAATATGGTTAGTCAAACCTTAAATTTTGCTCTGGATGTTTTGCTTTGTTTTATTTTGGTGTTGGCATTATAACAATCCTAGAACTTGATTCTAAAGTCACTTATGCAAATACAGAAATGAAAATCTTGACAAAAAATAAAATTATGCTCATGAAAATATATTCTGATATTTTAGATTCTTCGAAAAAGGAACCAAGGTGGAATTTTTGGAAATATCTGGTCAACCCTGAGGGTCAAGTTGTGAACTCCTGGAGGCCAGAGGAACCCGTTGAAGTTATCAGGCCTGAGATAGCAGCTCTGATTAGACAAATGATCATAAAAAAGAAAGAGGATCTATGAAAATGCCGTTAAGTCATTTGAATGCAGCTGTCAGAATACAGAAATGTTTCCATGAGGGTTTGGTCTTATTTTAAACACTCCTGACAATTAAATGTGGCACTGAAGGATGACTTTTTTGTTGTTTTTACATTATCTTGCTTGTGAATGGTAATGAATGTCCCCAGGGTACAGATGTTACACAAAACAAATATAAAGAACAGCCAAAGAATCAAAATGAAATATACTAAATACATTCATTATCTGACCACACTAAATAATTCAGAATACACAGTTACCAATGTGCTTCCATATCCTATTGTTCAACTTGACATTTTCTAGAATTGTACTTGATGGAAATGCCAACACACTAGACCAGTGTTTGAATTCAAGATACTGTGTATGACTGAAATATCTGGAGTGACTAAATGTAAATGACTATTTTTATGTAATAAAAAACAAACATTAAAAAATGTAAAATATACATACATTCAAATCTTTATATATATTTGTTTCACGTACAGGATTGTGTTTGTTTTTAAGTACAGGTTCATAGTATCTTTTACTATATCTTGCCAAATGAAACTATCATTAACATTGGAAAAAGCCTTCATCACTTTTAGTATTTCTCTTTTTCCAGAAGCAATTCAGTTCCATAAATAGAATATTAACAGTTGAGTCACAGTCTTTATTTCTAAGTGAAAATCCCATGTGTAAGAAAAAGGCCATGAGTATATGATCATTTAGCTTGATTCCTTATAGGTTAATTTTGGTTGCTAATATCTTCACACTAGCCATCTGGAAAGAAGTCAATGCTGCATCATTCTGACGGCTGAAATAAGAATCAACTCCAAATAGTTAAAACTCTTTACATAAAAAGGGAGTGATTGTAATTATTCATGTCCTAAACATGAGCAGTCATTGAACCTTTTGATAGTCACAACATACATTTTCTCTAAAAGTCATGATCTTCGTGTTTTGTGAACCTTTTCATTATTGGTTAACAAAGCAACCTGCCAAGTTGATGAAGGTTAATTATTGCCCATGAAATATTCATTTCATAAATCAATTAAATAGACTAGGGCCCCAAAAAATGTGAAAGTATAGTCATGTAAAATTTAGCTAAGAAGGAAGACCCAATCTATATAGCTGTGAGTTGGATCCCAAATTCTGACTGATTAATGCAAGTGAAGATGCTTTTTTATGATGAAATCAGTAATGCCACCTCAGTATATGGTTCTGTGTAAGTGGTTAAGACACATTCTTCGAGAAACCAAAAATATTTCCTGGAAGACTTTCTGCTTCAAAGTACATGTCCAACTACCCATCTCCAAAAGTGTTTAGTAATATTATTTGGTGGGGGTGGAGATGCAGTTTCCATCAGAATTCAAGAGGATTTGAATTCTGAGCTACTAAGCTTTTTCAGGGTAATCCCTTCAACTACTGCTTCCTAGAGCACTCTTGCCACATTCCTGCACTGAAAACATGACTCATAACCTGCTGCAGGGTGTTAGGTACTGATATTATAGGTGTAAGCAGAAGAATATATGCCAGCACCATACAGGCTATATAGACCCCCACTGCCAGACAGATGGCAATGGAGCTCCACAGAGTGGTGACCGGGACTGTCCCAGGGAATGTAATTCAGATGTCCATCCTGCCCAAAGTCACTGGTTCTCTTGAAAGCCATAGAGTAGCTTTTTTACTTACGTATCTCCAACCCTGGTTGCTCTGCTCAACCTACAGTCTCCACTATAGTCAGTGCTTAACCCTCCCCCTGCCCTTTGTGTATGCAGGGATGGCAGGTGGGGATTTGAAAGTATGCCACATAGGTTTCCACTCGGGTTTTTGTAACAGTTACGCTGTGTATTGCTACTTATAACTCCAATGTCTTACCTGAACACAATCAGGAAAACATGCTCAGAAAAAATTGCATCTTTTTGAATTGAGCGTATTTTCCCTATCCCAGCATCAAAACGCCTGGGACATAGATGGCAACAGGGTGCTTGGACTGAGGAGTATAACAGAAAAATAGGCTTCGCATTAAAGTGTGTGCAGCTGTTCTCAGGACAAAGGATCAAAAGCAAATGCATTCAATTGTGGTCAATAATTCATTGACTTGGAGTTTGCTTTGGTTTTATTTGGGAGGTCGATTGAAGTGCTTCATACTAATTCCTCTCATATCTCATGACAGCTGTAACCAATGTTGGAGATGGATAAATATGAATTTGTCTGAAATATACCCTGAAAGTCACACTTCATTTTTTTAAATGCTTAAGAATTACAGTGTATCCAGAGTATGTGTGTATGTGCACATATGTAATTCTTAGTAATTGACTATATATAATGCATATATAGGGATGGCTGGGAAATGTTTACAACCAACTCTCTGGAGGAAAATTTGCATCATTTGCCAATTTCCATGCATAAATTCTCTCACATGGCCAGTTCCAATCTGCCAATGGTTTAATAACTGGCTTGCAAAATTTCTGAACATTTATTTAACAATTGAGTCACAAACCAGCACAAGCTGGCTCCAGCACACCAAAATTCTTAGAAATCAGACTTGATCAGGGTATCACAGGATCTTTAAAGAGAAAAACCTAGAACAAAGAATATCATATATATCCTTTGTTTTTATTATAAATATACTATTTTGACAAGTTGTATAAAAATATGGAAGTACATGAAATTACTAGTTATGAAAACTGCTGTTATGAAAAAGTTGCTAACAATATACTGTTAATCACTAAAATCTAATGACCTATTTAGACTGTCTGCAGGTAATCTCAAGGAGCGAAACGCAACAGTAAAAGAGAGAAAGAGAGGAAGGAAGGAAAAAAGGAAGAAGGGAAGGATCAAGGGAAAAGGAAAACAAAGGAAGTGTAGACAAAACCTGAGGAGAAAAAAACTATATTTTTCTATATTTCTTTAAACATGTTTACCATTTCTAAAGACTGCCTTGCACAGGCTAAATTGTTGAGTGGTCCCCTGTACAAAATACCACATTCATTCCTGGTGTTCCTTGAAAGAAAAATAACAGGTTTGGGTAGAGCTAATATGGGGACACTCTGTTTATCCCTCAGGTTGATTTCATCATGCCAGTGGAATAATACAATTCTGATAACCATTCTGCCTAGAAACTACCACACCACACTCCCCCGCAATCTTCTCTTTCCCTTTTCTCTCCGGGGCTGAACTGCTAAAGCCCTACCTTGCAGAACAAAGCATTGTCATTTAGAGGGAAATAAAGAGCAGCAAGGAATTAGGAAGCCTTCCAGAGGGTAGTGAGGGGAAGCTGGTACATCCCCAACCCCAGCTAATAGCACAGGGGCTGCCCCCAAAGAAAACACCTGGGAGAAAATACTTCCCCACCAGCAGAGCCTCCATCATTCTTCCCTTTTTCCAACACCCTTTCCCTCTTCTTTTCCTTCAAAATCCCAAGTATGGATCCCAATCTTTCCCTCTCACTCCTATGGAAACATTTTCTTTTTAACTTATCTGTTCATTCTCCTCCTTATCCGTTTATCTCCTTAACTTATCTTTACTACATTCAGTTAATTCCCTTTCTCATCATCTCAACAATATGGAACTGAAGAGTCACTTTAAGTACGTATTATCTTTATTGAGTATAAATGTTGGTATTTTATGTCTTGCTCTTTAGTTTTCTAAAAAAAAATTAAAACACAAAGACCAAATCTTCTAAATGCAGTAGGTTTTATTTTTATCATCATGTTGGTAAATTTCTATAGAAAATAACTTTTTAAAATTTAATCTTTAAAAAAAGATAAAAATAAGATTTGCATGGAAGGGATATTTTAATACAAAGATGCTGAAAATGGAATAATGATACAGAGTAACAACAAAAAGAATAGTAAAATGCATTAAGAATCAAATTATAGTCATCTAACCCATGTTTCTTTGTTTAAATTTAAATAAGAATAAAAATTGAAGAATATAATCCAACACAGCATAAAGTGTGGTGTATTTCTCACATCTCATTTAGGTGAAACCAGACCACCAAAGTCAGTTCCGTGAACTTACTGCAAATGTCCACCTGGGTACACTGCATGTCTGGGACCCGCACATACCCAACCCTGCCCCACAGGCTTAGGTGGCCTCCAAGGGAATGAGAAAATATTTAAAATCATATTGCAGAGTCAGTTCCTCCCACTTCAAAAGCTAAATCCCATGTTGTCTTCCAAATATTTCATGAGTCTGTGATTTTACATAAAATTAAAAAGAACTGAGGCAAACCTTTCAAACAATTCAGCCCCATCTTTGACCCCTCAAGAATCCCCCGTTTCCTTGACATTTCAAGTGAAAATGTTTTAGCTGGCTGATTCATTTGAACAGTTACCTCAGTTCTCCAATCAGTTGGCACATACATGTTCATAGAGACCTACCCTAATGTTATATCAAGAAACTGATAATTCAGAAAGAGTACTAAAGATTTCATTGAAAACTTGGGGAAACAGTTTAGGTTTAGGATTTCCATTCTAAATTATCATTATCTTCTAAATTTTATATTGAAAAATAAATACATCATCTCCCAATGTTTTAATACTCTCTACCCCAGATTCCAAAAATATCACCTGGAAACTCTTTAAATAATTAATTATAGTAGTTTCTTCATCATTATAAAGCTGTCTGTTGTATTATAATCGAGTAACTCAGTAGCAATAACAAGAATTGTGGTAAATAGTGCCCTAGTTCAGAGCAAAAAGTATATGCGTGTGCACACACATACACATTACAGATTTAATTATACTCTGGTGTTCACTGTATATGCAATAAGATAGCAGTTGCATGTTAGCTGATGCCATTCACATATTCAACCAGCTAACAGTACACTGCCAACCCATCACACACATGCAACCAATGCACTTCAGGAACAAGAAGAATTTATCCAGAAGCAAGTGGCAGCATAGTTACGGCTGCTTAATTGACCCAAAGCAGCCAGCTAACAATACACTGCCTACCTGACTCAGGTCACTGCTGCTTTTCAGTCATCGAGGCTATATTTGTCATATGAAACACAGTGGCAGAACTTTAATGTTAATAGTCACACGGAAGAAAATATAGGCAAAACGTATTCTTTCAATACTATAAGAAATAAAACCAATATTTTCTTCAATTCTTTAACCAATAAGAACTTTCCGAATACTTATACTTAGCTTTTCCAAATTAAAAGTTTGGATACAAAAACATGGTGTTGCAGTACAAGTGACTTAAAAGTTGTACTTAACTATAGATTTTCCAATTACATTTACTGGCCAAAAGGCTAATTGTCTGTATTAGGCAGTTAAATATATAGGAGTCATGGAAATACATTAACTGGGCATAAGACAAAACTTCAGCTATGTTTTGGAGGGGGGGAAATCAACATTGAAGTATTTAGGAAATGACTTAAATGTCATTTGTCTTCTCACTACAAATATCATTAGTCATTGCATACTGAAAGTACAGTTACATGTTTTCTTGTGTCACCCCTTAAATACAGAAAAATTAAGAGAAGATTTAGAAAAATCTATAAAAATGGTAATGGGCTTGAAATTAGAATCTATGAGTAAAGTTTAAAGGAATATGAACTATTTATCATAGAGAGAAGCAAGGTGAATGGTGATGGAGATTTAAAGCATTTGTGGGGTGTTTATGTGGCAAAAAATATAAATAATTTAGATTTGTTTTATTTTTACACTAATTACAAATGAAGCTACTGGCCTTTGGGTTCGGACTTTCAAGGAAGTACATAGGATCAACTTTTAAACTGCTAACCTAAGGGCGGTGGATTATGCCACTTCTCCTTGCTGTCCACAAGATGGCTCCTTTTCAGTTTCTTTGGGAGGCAAGCTTTCGCTTCCAACAGAGGGGAGTGCAATTAGCAACTGTTAACCTGAAATTCTAACAGCCAGCTAGCAATGCACTGCCTATCTGGCACATACAAGCTTCTATCCTTTGCTGTTGAAGTAAAAACTATAAAGCACCATTCAGATACAAATAGTTACCATTATTCGTCAGGGATCTTCCGTTTCTGACAGGATTTGTGTGTGTGTGTGTGTGTGTGTGTGTGTGTGTGTGTGTGTGTGTGTAATTAGACTCTGTAGTGTATTACCAAATTGATTTTTTTAATTTTCGTATTTTCAGACCAACCCATACTTTCAACAAATATCTTCTTTAGCAATAATTCGTTTGTTCTAGATAAGAATTAAGAGAATTAGCGCAAGCACTAGACACTCACCTTAGGAGAACCTTGACTTCTCTGCTTCATGTCTTTGGCGAGTATCCGCATGACATTCTCCTTTAAAACACAGATAACATACGGAGAGAGAAACTATTTAGGAGACTCATTAACTGGGCTGTTTCTAGATCATCAGCTTCACTTTTTTTTGTCCTTTTTTAAGCAATATTAATCCAGAATATAAATAAATTACACAACTCAAAATTAAGATCAGGGTTTAGAGGTTTGTACTACCTCTTAGTCTTAAACAGGTGTTACAAACGGTTGCTTCCACAAGAAGCCCCTTCAGGGAGCTGAGACAAGAAAACAGAGGGGAGTTACTCACCCACAGCACCTCTTCCTCCGTCCGGACCCTCCGCCTGGCGGTGCGCTCCAGTTTCCACTCCATCTCGGGAGGACTTTGTCCTACCTCGGGATCGGCCTCTCCACGACCGCCTCTTGTTTTCCCCCCAAATCTAAACCACTCGACGCCTACTGCTCAAACCTCTAGAGTCTGGTCCCCCGGGGCCATCATATTTTATCCCTAACCTCCATTTTCCCCACTCCTCCCACCGCTCCGGGAGCGGTCCCCAGAGTACAGTTTAAAAAGCCGCGGGGGCGGCAGCTGGAGCGGGAATCCCCCTCTCCGGCTTCTCATTGGCCAGCGCTCCGGGGACGTCAGAGCCCGGGAGGGATTCCCCTGCGCGCCCAGCCGCCCGCTCCGCCTAGCAGCCTGCTGCCCAGCCCCGCTGCCGCCTGCCCTTTGTCCGCGGAGGCGGGCCCAGGAGCGCCAAGCTTTGCCGCGAGCGGTGGCGGGCCTGAGCTGGGCCAGGCGCCGAGGGTTGTCACAGCAGCAGGAGACGAGGGGATTGGCGGGCGAAGAAGCGGGTTCCTGGGAGTTCACGCTCTTTCCATTTTCAGAAACAGAAATGTTCCGTTGTAACCGGGCCTCTCCATTGGTGAAACCGACCGTTTGTGTAAGCCTCTGATTTGAGACGTGTTTCCCCAACATGTTCATCAACTCTTCATCTTCAAACAGGCAGGAAAACGTGACGAGATTTCTGTGCTAATGAAAAGGGGGAGAAATCACATATTTATTCAATAAATTTTTCTCCAGCTTCAACCATTTGGAAGGGATCACGGTCTCTCACTTGAGCTTCTGAACTATCTTCCCAAACATTAGGTTGGTGAGAGAAGTAAACTTTTGTGAAAAAACCAATAATAAGGAGGCCTGAAAAGGAGTGAAGAGCCAGCAAGAAAGCTGAGCAGACTGGGGGCTAAGTGACAAGGGGAAGGATGATACTGGGGGTCAAGGGAAGAGTTTGGAGGGAAATGACAAGGAGTTAAAGGAGATGGGCTGCCTTAGCTGCCTCCCCTGAGCTGCCAGGAGAGGCAAGCTGTGCCAGATGGTAGGGAAGGAAACTGCCTGGAAAACTGACAGTCTGGCAGCCTGCTTTTCCCTCCCTATTACCTCCTCCTTCCTGCCACCCGTCCCTGCCCCCCTACCCCACAGGCACCTTGACATTTTGATGCTTTTATTCTAATGCCACATGTGAGTTTGTGTGCCTGGGAGGAAAAGTTCATAAGATATAAGGTACTTAAAAGGATCATGATTTTTTTCTTTAAACTCACACTTCTCTTTTCCTTCATATTGAAAGCAAGAAAAATTGCCACCAAGGCTAAGGCTCAATCTTAGACTAATTTTCCATCTACAAAGATAAAGGTTAGGGGAAAAGCTTCACAGGGTAATTCAATCATCAAATGAGATTTATCAAAATGTTTGATAGTCAAAGAATGCACAGATTTAAAGATCTCTAAGTTTTAACCACAAGAATTCTACTTTTTCTTGCAGTACATTCAAAGGAGTACTCATTTAAAATTCCAGTAAATCCTTTCAGCAAACATTGAGGCTAAATAAAGTGAAATATTGGATGAGAGTCAGATGTATTGTTAAAAGATTGGTTTAGCAAATGCCCACTAAAATTAGCAATCCATTGGAAAAAATAGTAAAGACTTTTTATCTTGGTTCTAAGTACTATTTTACATGTACCCATTTAGGAGGATAGTTACAAACACAAGAGTAATAAAAGCCAATTCAATTAATAAACTTGTAAATCCATGCAAATTGGGGTTTTAGAATCCAAGTTTTTACAAGTACTAAGACTAGTGAATTAGCCTAAAAATTCAGTTATCTGTAGATGAGACATTCCTAAATTCCATTCAGCCAGTAATTCCACAGCATATCATATAGCCTCCAAATACCATGTTTCCATTGATATAAACACCGCAGCACGGTTGCAGTCAAGAATCAAGAACACTAAAACTGGTGTATGTATGTAGAGGATGTTTATCCTGTGGATGAAAACACAAAGAATCACAAATTTTCACTGCACAAACCACCCCTTAGCCAATTAACATCACCACTGACACACTGACATGGTGTGCCTCCTGATATGATGCACTGAGAAGGGCACTACCTCAGTTCAGTGATACTTTGTGCCAAAAATGCATAACCTGAATTTAATGAGAGAATACTAAACAAACTCCAATTGAAAGACATTCACAAAACAACTGGCCAGCAGTATTTTTCAAGTGTCAGTCATGGAGAAAGACTGAGATACTATAACAGATCAGAAGAAACTAAATAGACAATACAAGCAAATGTATTGTCAGATCTTGGACTGAATCTTGGACCAGGAAAAAAAAAAGACATTAGTTGAGTATTGTAGAAAACTGAATAATATCTATAGATTAGTTAAATAGAGTCATAGTAATGCTAATTTCCTAGTTATGATCATTGTTCTGTAATTGGGGAAACTAGGTGAAAGATATAATAGAATTCTTTGTACCATTTTTGTAACTTTTTTCCAGGTCAAATTATTTCAAAATGAAAAAATGTTAATTTAACATGTGGTCATACTGATAAAAACACTATGGTACAACTTCTTTGTAGGAAAAAATAGAAATATCCTGCAAACATCTTGTCTTAATTTGTATCAAATATAGTTCAGGAATATTGTCTAATTCAAATATTCAGGTACTTGGGAGTAATTGACTATCTTCAAACGTTTCCTCCTTGAGAGTGGGTTTTGCAGGTAGATGCTAGTAAAGAGAAGGGCTGTGAGGAAGATTCCTCCGCAAAAGCCAAAGACCACTTTGAAGGATTTTGAGTGGAAAGGTACAGGGCAGAGGAGGTGGATCAGTTAGGAAGGGAGGAGAGCAAGTGTGAAAAAGCTTGTCTTGATTCTTATCTTGCTGGTGCTCTGAGAGGCTGAGGCTATCCAACTTCCCAAATGCAGATGTTTTTCAATTACATGATTACATTTCCATTCAATATAATAGTGTTAAATATCACAGAAGTATATATTGTACAAAGTAAGCTCCCTTCATCGGCACTCTCATACTCCTTCCCCCAGAGCTTCATCGGGCTTTTTCAAGGCAAATATTGACGTACATACGTGTGTACACAGTTGGGCGCTGTTAATCTTCCTACGTAGATGGGATTATTATTATACCAATCATTCTGCAACTTTTTTCTACTTCACTGTATTCAACTGCTTCTCCAGAAATGCCAACCGGAGAGCTCCCCATCCCCGGCTCCAACCGTCGTTTCTCGCGCCCTAGGGCCGCGGCTGCTCCCGCTGGGCCGGACTCGCTGACTGGAGCGCCCGGTGCGCGCCCCGCTCCCTCCCGCGCGCGCCCGCCGCGCCCCGCGCGCGCGCCTACTGGACAAAAGGGACGGTTGGTGTTTGCTCCAGCGGTCCGAGCGGGTTTGCACGCGCCCCGCCAGGTGAGCGGCAGGGGAAGCCACGCCGGCGGGGACTAATACAGCCCCAGTCCACTTGGGACAGCGGGAAGGCTGCCCTCAGGTTCAGGGCGTCTGCACCGTGCTGGAGTGAGGAAGTTAACCGTGAACGGGAAAGGAAAGAAAGGAAGCCGTTGTGTCCGGGACTAATAAACTCTGAGTGTCTGCTCCGCAGAATATGTAGCTCAAAATTGTCCGTGGGAAGGAGTGAATGAATCCCTTAAAATTAAGACCTTGAGTTGGTGTCCAAAACCTTAACCTGTCAGGGTTCTGGCAAGGTGAAAGCCTCAGTCAGAAGAATAGTTAGTAAAGTAGCAAAGTAGCATGTCACCTCTGGTTATATGCCTTACTATCTCTTCAAGTATAAATAGTAGGTGTATATTCATATTTTCCCCTTACTACCTGATTTCTAAGTACAAGGTCTGTCCCGTAAAATGTGCTTCTCCATTCCACACCCCAGTTAATGAAGACAGAGGGTAAAGTTGCCCAGCTTAAAGAATGAAAATCAGAAGATTGCTTCACCTCCAACCACTTATTTTCTCTAGTGCAGTTTTCTTTCTTTCCTCTAGGATAGATAGCTCTTGCATAGGATACTGATTAAGGTACTTACCCACAATTTTAAGGAATATAAGGAAAATATCAAACAAAATTGTACAAATCTGTATAAAACAACAGATGAAATCAGATACGTAACCATGGTATTGCCTCAGAGAAAAGAGGGGACATAATTTGCTCTAAACTTGAACATCTTTTTAACTAGATAGCCTAACAGCACTTCAAACACAGCATGATCCAAAGCAGAATTGAAATCTTTATCACATTTTCCCTAAACCGTCTCTTCCTCCTGTGTGCACCCTGTTCCCAGGAGCACCATCTTCCCGGCAGCACAAAGTCAGCCTTCTTTAACTCTTTTTCTTTCCCATATGCCCAAACTCAGCTACCAAAGACAGTCATTTTCACCCCTACAGGGTTGATTACATCTGCTCTCTTCCTAAACGATTATAGTAACCCGATAATTCAACCTCTCTTCTGTTCCCCTCCATCCATTCATTTGACTTGTTTATTCGCACACAGCAAGCGCCACGCACTATGTAATCCAGTGATAAGACTATATATAAATCCACTGTGAGAGCCAGTGATAAAGCTTTAATTATAAGCAGTATGCATTATCTGGAGCTGATCATATTTCTCCCCTGCCCAAAATCCCTGGAAGAATCTTCCTTACACACAGAATTAAGTTCCAAATTCTCCAGCTCACATACAAGCCAGCTACAATTTAGCTTCTTTCTTGGATCCTCTCCCACAATACCACTAATATTTCGTGCTCCCCATGATGTAGGTAATGCCCAGCTCTCTCCTGCTTTCAGGCCTTTGCTGAGGTTACTTCACTTTTGAGTTCTTTTTCCCTATCTTCTCCTGGTAATCTTACCCTTGGAATTTAAGTGTTCTTTTCTAAAAAGCCTTCTCAGAAGAAGAGTTAACAAAGTAGCATGTCACCTCTGGTTATGCGCCTTATTATTTTTCAAGTGTATCTCCCTAGTTGGAATCTTTTTCTCTTCCCTACATTGCCATAGCTTTTTGTTTGTACCTCTAGTCTGCTTAATCCCAGATTTTATATATGTGTAAAAGCTCCGAGAATGCAGATTCCTGTCCTTTTCATCTTTGTGTTCTCTTGAGAATGGTTCAGTGCTTTGCACATAGTAAGCTTTGTACATAGTTGGTATTCAAT